ATATAAATAAAAACAGAAACGTAAATAATTAAAAAATATAAATACTGAAAGAAATATAAATAGTAAAAGACGTATACATAATAAAGGAAATAGGCGTAATAATAGAAATACAAATAATAAAAAGACATTTAATAAATTTTTAAAAAATAGAGTGATTTTAAGCGAGCTCTGTGTCGCGTTTCCCACCCTCTCCCCTTTCCCAGCCTTCCTCCCCTGAGGCTGGTTAAAAATTAACGCGGTGTTGACCCAGATACGTGGAATTTCACCCCAAAAGCTGGGCAGCCAAAGGGGACGTCAAGACACGGCTGTGACCCTGGGGCATCAAGGTGACATCTCCCGTGGTCTCACCCACAGCTCTTCCTCGCTGCCGCCCTCCTCTTCCTCGGCCAAGGAAGCAACGGGATTGGTGGAGGTGCCCAAATGCCCCTGGTGGGATCGGTGGGGAGGAGAAGACCTCTGCGACCCATGGGTGAGTCGTCTTCTCTGGTTGGTTGGCCTTGGTTGGTTGATGTTGTTTGGTTGGCGTTGGTTGGTTGGTTGACGTTGGTTGGTTGACTTTGGTTGGGCTTGGCTGATTCGTTGGTTGACGTTGGTTGGCCTGTTGGCGGTGGGTTGGTTGATGTTGGTGGGTTGGTTGGTTGGCGTTGGTGGGTGGGTTGGTTGACGTTGGTGGGTGGGTTGGTTGACGTTGGTGGGGGGGTTGGTTGACGTTGGTGGGTGGGTTGGTTGGCGTTGGTTGGCCTTGTTTGGTTGACATTGGTTGGCCTGGGTTGGTTGATGCTGGTTGGCCTTGGTTGGTGTTGGTTGGTTGACTCTGGTTGGGCTTGGTTGATTTGTTGGTTGGCGTTGGTTGGTTGGTTGGTCTTGGTGGGTTGGTTGACGTTGGTTGGCGTTGGTTGGTTGATGCTGGTTGGCCTTGTTTGGTTGGCCTTGGTTGGTTGAGGTTGCTTGATTTGTTGGTCTTGGTTGGTTGACGTTGGTTGGTTGGTAGGCACCCACCCAACTGCTCCCTCCCCGTCCTTGAAGAAAAGAGGACCAAAAAAAGCTCGGGGAGATCACGTTGTGGACAAACTGGGCTTGATTTGGAGGAGATTAATTAAATTTAGTGGTAATTAAAACTAGAGTAGGGTGGTGAGGAATAGACAGAATGAGAAATGTCTTCTCCAGCTTCTTCCCAGCCTCCTGACTCTTCTGCCCGCCCGCAGCACCATAGGGGGTGGTGGTCAGGTCGTAATTATGGGATGTGAACTTCAAGAACTGCTCCAATGTGGGTCCTTCCCATGGGCTGTGGTCCTTCAGGGTGAACCTGACCCAGCATGGGCTCTCCATGGGCTGGTTCTTCAGGTTCAACCTGCTCCAACATGGTCTCTCCTTGAGCTGCAGTCCTTGAGGATGAACCTATACATGGTCTCATCCATCCCTCTAGCCTGCAGTGCATGAAGGTCTCTGCTTTTATGAGTTTTAGCAAGGATTTCCCCTATTTTTCCCCTCCCAAAAATAACGAAGGGTTGGTCGAGATGTCTGACTCATCACTTTTTTTGGCCGTCTGTGCTGGGGCAAGCGTGAGGTGCTGCGCCTCAGCAACTTCCCCAGTGTGGTGGGTCTCTGCAGGACATTGCTCCAGCAGCTTCGAGAAGGATGGAGACATCTCATTTCACCAAAATCCCCCATTTTCTCCCTGCAGCCACCAGCTGGAGCTTGTCCCGGAGGAAGCGAGAGGAGGAGGAGCCACCTTCATACCTGAAGTGGGTGGACTTTGAAGGCCAGTTGCCCGCCGACGCTGTCTCCAACTGGAACAACTACACCAAGAAGCTGGAGTATGTCTGCTCAACACAGGTGCTTGGCTGTGACACTGGGGCCTACATCCCCGACCGAGGTCCCTTCTGCTTCTTCCCCTATGGGGAAATGGAACAAGAAGCCGAGATCTTCAAGGTGTTGGTCAATGTGGGAGGCTTTGAGGCGCTGGGTTGGGTCGATGACTCCTTCGGTAACGTGCCCAAAAACGCCGTGGAGGGCTGCCCGTCGGTTGATGTCTTCATCGGGAGGAACCGCTATGGCTTGGGCAAGATCTCCAAAGTGCAGAGGGCTGCCTTCATGATTGTGGATGGGGAGGAGGTTTGGTTCAAGTGGTACCAAGTCTTGGTGGTCAAGAAGGGCCCGGCGGATGTCACCATCTCCGATGTCCACTACAACATGAGCGGGCTGGTGGAAGATGGGGAAGACATCACCCTGATGAGGACCGTGGTGAGGAACGAGGGCTGCCGAGGGGTGCGTAAAGCCGTCACCTTGGAGGAGGTCACTGAGATGGAGCACGACTGGGCGATGGACAAGCGAGTCTTCACCACCATCCGCGGGGTGTTACGAGCTGCCCTCTTGGTCTTCACTGGGACCCACTGGGAGGCCACCAACGTCACCAACATCTCCTGGGTGGGAGGAGCCAGCACCAGCGAGTACATTGTCCATACCCACACGGTGGAGGAGGAGGTGCAGCCCCGGACGGCGTGCGCGGTGGCCTTGGAAGGACGTCGGTTGGACGTCCGCGTCCCCTTCACTGCGCAGTTGACCCGCGATTTCGGTGACGGTCAACCGCACCACGTGACGGTGATGGGGTGGGCCCGCAGCCGCGCGGTGGTGGGCGTCAAGGCTGGCGTCAAGGAGTGTTGGCCCATCACCGATGTCCCACCATGCCGGGCGTAGGTGGTGGTGACACGGATGGGTGTATCTGCTTCTCGCAATCTGTTTTTTATTTCCCCCACAAAAAAACCTACCGTTTTACCCCAAAATGTGATGGCAGCAGTCTATAATGCAGAAAAAGGCGTTTCTTTTACCTCATATTTTCTGCTTCCATGGTGTAACCTTCATCCCTCTCTGAAATGACACAGCAACGACGTGGAATACAGAAAAATGGGGTTCTTTTTTAATCTGCACTTTCTTTTTTCTCCCAAATAACCGCCATCTCTCCCCAGAAAGACACAGCAACAATGTGTATTACAGAAAACCACAATTTTTGGCACCTGCATTTTCTTCTTCCCCCCCACATTGGGACTGCGGCGGTGTGGGATGCAGAAAAATGCCTTTCTTGTGGCCTTTATTTTTCCTTATTTTCCATTGCCCATCGAGGACCCTCTTTCCACTGGAGATTGACATCGCTTCCTGTTGCGACACTCACGTTGTCTTTGCTTCTTGTGTTTTTTGGAAAAAATGCGGAGCAAACGAATTAGAACGGTCCCAAAATGTGATTTAATAAGAAAATGGGCTGAGGGAGAAGGTGACAAACCCCAAAATAAGGGTTGGAAAGGCAAACACTCCTATCAGGATGAGGGTGGAGGCTGTGTCCTTGGAGGACACTCATGGAGGTGGTGATGAAGGTGGAGGTTGTGCCTCTTGGAGGATGCTCATGGAGGTGGTGATGTGGGTGGAGATTGTGCCTCTTGGAGGACACTTATGGAGGTGGCACCATCTTCTTGTGATGGTGGAGGCTGTGTCCTTGGAGGAGGCTCATGGAGGTGGCATCATCTCAGGATGAGGGTGGAGGTTGTGCCTCTTGGAGGTCACTCCTGGAAGTGGCATCATTGCAGGATTGGAGGATGCTCATGGAGGTGGTGATGGGGGTGGAGGTTGTGCCTCTTGGAAAATGCTCATGGAGCTGGCATCATCTCAGGGTGATGGTGGGGGACACTCATGGAGGTGACATCATGTGGTGGTGATGGTGGAGGCTGCGTCCTTGGAGGATGCTCGTGGAGGTGGCATCATATCAGGGTGATGGTGGGGGACACTCATGGAGGTGACATCATCTTGTTGTGATGGTGGAGGCTGCATCCTTGGAGGATGCTCACAGAGGTGGTGATGGAGTGGAGGTTGTGCCTCTTGGGAGGATGCTCATGGAGGAGGCATCATCTCAGGATGAGGATGCTCATGGAAGTGGTGATGAGGGTGGAGGTTGTGCCTCTTGGAGGACAGTTATGGAGCTGGCATCATCTCAGGATGATGGTGGAGGACGCTCATGGAGGTGGCATCATCTCAGAGTGATGTTGGAGGCTTGGAAGGACACTCACAGAGGTGGCATCATGGGAGGATGACGGTGAAGGGCTCTGTCCTTGGGTGGTGCTTGTGGAGATGCCATCATCTCAGTATGAAGTTGGAGGTTGTGTCTCTTGGAGGACTTTTAGGGAGGAGGCATCATCTCAGGATGAAGATGCTCTTGGAGGTGGTGATGGGGGTGGACGTTGTGCCTCTTGGAGGACAATTATGGAGCTGACATCATCTCAGGATGAGGGTGGAGGCTGCATCCTTGGAGGATGCTCACAGAGGTGGTGATGGGGTGGAGGTTGTGCCTCTTGGGAGGATGCTCATGGAGGTGGCATCATCTCAGGGTGATGGTGGAGGACACTCATGAAGGTGACATCATCTTGTTGTGATGGTGGAGGCTGCATCCTTGGAAGACACTCGTGGAAGTGGCATCATCTCAGGATGATGGCGGAGGCTCTGTCCTTGGAGGATGCTCGTGGAGGTGGCATCATCTCAGGATGAGGACACTCATGGAGGTAGTGATGAAGGTGGAGGCTCTGTCCTTGGAAGACACTTGTGGAAGTGGCATCATCTCAGGGTGGTGGCGGAGGCTGTGTCCTTTGAGGTTGCTCATGGAGGTGGCATCATCTCAAGGTGATGGTGGAGGATGCTCATGGAGGAGGCATCATCTCAGGATCAGGATGCTCATGGAAGTGGTGATAGGGGTGGAGGTTGTGCCTCTTGGAGGATGCTCCTGGAGGTGGCACCATCTCAGGGTGTGATGTTGGACCAAAGCCCCCACCCCACCACCCAAGTGCTTCTCCTCCTCCTCACCTTCCCCCTCCCCTTCCTGCCATGACAGGAGTGACAGCAGAGTTGACCAATCAGTGTGCGGGTAGGGCAGCTGCCCCGCCCACCTTGGGGTCCTGGAGGACTGTGAGGGATTCTGGAGAAGGTCCGGGGGGGGTTCTGGAGGACTTCAGGGGATCCTTGGGGTCTGGGGATGGTCCAGGGGTCCCAGAGGATTGAAGGGGGTCCAGGAGGGTCCCAGAGGACTTTGGGGGGTGCTGGGAGATTTTGGG